CATGGCATTAGAAAGAGGATCATGAAAAACCTGTAAAAAAATGGTTTATGAAATTTTAGTTCACTCATAAAGCTAAAGTCCGCTTGCTCTAGCTAAAAATGCCCACTGTGTATCGGTCGTCACAAATATTATTTGATATGGTAATATTAAGGATTATATATAAGTCCGTTGAAGTAGGCAAAACAGCAATTGTTTGTTGTTGATTTGATTTGTTGTTTACGGCTTCAAAAGTAGCTAAATTGTATCCCATTCTTGCTAACCTGTTGTAAACAATTGATCTTCGGATCTATGAACTTCACTTTCGGGCTGTTCAGTTTTTCGTGCCCACTTCCTTGAATTATATATATATATTATTGATATAAAAATTAGCCGAACTTCAGTGATTGAAAGAATAACGACCCAGTATTCTACAATGCATACTATATATACGGCGTTGTGAAACTAAATGGAAATAAATTGATATTTGAGACACATTCTTTTTATTTGAGAAAAAAGAAGTTGCAGTTTTCTTCTCTTAACAAACAAAAAGAAAAATTGGCATTTTTTTAAGACAACAAAATAATAGGAATAATTTCTTCTTCATTACAGTTTAGCCAAAACGAAACGGAAGAACTCAATATGGTTTAGAAAATATTAATTAAAACAAAACCGAGACGAACATAAAATTGATTATTTGTAAAAAGTCAGAAAGAGTATTAGTCTGTAGTCAGAAGAAGGTTCGGGTCCGAGAGTATAAATATTATCCATCAAGGCGTCAATGTATTTTTCTCCATATTGAATTGTAATATTCAGGTCACCTTCCAAGCTCATACGTCTTTCAGAGAACGGATGATCATTTCTCTCAAACGGAAAACATCAAAAACGAGGTACTATATTGTCCAAGAAAAAGAAAACAAACCAGAAAAAATGAGAAAAATTTAAGCAAAAAAGGAGAAAGTAATATAGAAGATTTTTTTCTTTTTCTGTTACGTTTTTTAGGATACGATATTGTGATCTTTAGCAACCATTTTAATATAGAAATTATTTACCTGAACTTCAATGATTGAAAGAATAGCAATACAATATTCCACAGCAAATATTACATGTATTGTGCTGTGAGAAACTAAATGAACATAAATTGATACTTGAGAGAAGAAAACAAAACTTCAAGTTAAATGCAAGTCTATTTTAAAATATAGTTGAAGCCATGTATTCCGGAAGGAGAGAGTTAGCGTTTATAATTCTGATTACGTTAGCTGTGAAACCAGGACAACAACAGGAAGGATATCAATCAATCGCACGTCTAACCAACCTTGGTACCGAATTTCAGCCTGCTAATAGCAACGAGAATATCGGTACTTTAAGCAATGTGAATAGTTTAATCCGTTGTTTCAGTTATTGCAATCAGAATTCTCAGTGTGGCACATTTGATTATGATTATACGAGTTTTCGTTGTCGATTATTTCAGGCACACCTAACATATGGTACTGTGATGATGTCATCTTCATCTACTAGTACAGTTGGCGCATTATACGGTCAAAACCAATACAATGCATATAATCAGTCATGTGATAACCGTAACATAAATTGGTATTTGGTATGTAATAAAACATCAAATTTATTCGAGTGTCCACCACATCAGTTTTGGAACGGAACATTATGTTTAAATCAACTGTACTACAATTTTAAATGCAATGCCACAAACTGGTGTAGGAATGATGTTGGCTTAATATGTACCTTCGATGGTTTATGTGGATGCAATGATTCTCAACAATGTTGGAACGGGTCATTTTGCTCAAACTATTCGTGCTTAGGTATTATGATTTAAACACATTTTTTTACAGTTCACACATTTTTCTACAGTTCCAAGTTATGTCTTCTAGTACCCACAACTACTGCTCTGTCCTCAACAACTGTTAGGTGGACCTCGATATCGCATAATACGTTAACTATCACTACCCCCCGTCCCAATCCATCAATATGTCAACTTGATCTTTCATCATCATCTACTAATCAAATACTATTGCATTTATTTAATCCATTGAGTACAACAACACAACAATATAATAATACATTTATTGCTAATTCAACTTGGACAACATTAACACTTTCATTACGTAGTGATACTAGTATTTGGTATTTATATGCTGTGTATATTTATGATCAAACACAAATAACAGGTCAGAATATATTATTAAATGGCGATTATGGTACTGGTACATTATATGGTTGGACTATAATGCCTTCTATCAATCCAACAATTAGCCCTGGTTCTTATGTGGTTTGGACGGGTAGTAAAATTCTTTGTCAAACATTTCCAACTGTAATCGGTAATACATATTTAATTCGATATTCAATGTGGTCTCTCAGTACAACGCCATATATA